CATGATCTGCCAGCCTGGGTGATGCCTCCTGCAGGGACTCTGGGAAGAGAGGGAGGAAGAAAGAGGTCAAGGCAGTTGGGGCAGAGAGAGGGCTTCCCTGAGAAATCCTTATTGTCAAGGTTTTCTGCTATCTCTTAGCTCAGAGACATTGTTTCTTTATTCCTAGTGTTCCCATGTACCAGAGCAGGAAGGCAGCCTCTACTTGGCCTGTTCCTTTCCTTTCCCCACAAATGTGAAGTTACAGCTCACTGCTCTAGAATGAGCAAGGCTTTCAGCAGACAGGGAGCATCTTGCAGAGAGACCTGGTGGGGCCACTCATTCTGTGATCAGGGCTTTGCCGCCTGAAACTGATAGACAGGTTCAAGCCTCCAGCTATCTGCCTAGGAGAGCTCTTGGTGCTGAATGACTTGTTAGAAATCAGGCAAGACTTCACAACAGGACTCCCAGGCACCTACCTGGCTCCTACTGTGGACACCCAGGTGCCATTTCATCCTCCCGACAAGACGTTGGCTGTCCTGTACAAGACAGCAGGAGACCATGAAAAGCTTAGGGCATGAAGGGGCTAACTTGGCAATGAGACAGCTGCCGCCTCCCTGGGCTCCCAGCCAACACAGCTTTGGCCCTCACAGGGCAACTGGCTCAGTCCTTAGTCCTGTCTCTTATGCGCAGCCAGGTCCCAAGGCAGCTCTCTCCCCAGGGCTTTAGGCCCAAGTTATTCAGAGGCAAAAGGAGTCCTTTCAGAGGCTGTTCCAAACCACTGTGCAATTCTACTGGCTTAGAAGGGCAGTCATTGTACCCAACCTTCAGGGCTACTGTGAGGTCTAAGGAAGTCATGAGAGCCATGTGACCTGGCCAGGAGTCACCAGGTAGTATCCCAGAATCTTCGGGCCCCACCCTTTGAACAAGATTTAGGCAAAGCCAGAGGGTAACAGCGCCTGTCTAACACTGGGTTGTCACCACACCTTTCCTCCATGTGGTGGAAAACACACCAATTTTCTCTCCCTCCTCAACCCACAGGGAACCAAAGTTACCTGCTCCCAGATGGGTAAGAGTTAGAATCACAACCATGGTCCCCAGTGGATAAGAGTCAGTAGACTCTGGCATACACAACAGATTGGGACTAGTCACAGACATGAGCCCCGAACAACTATGGGCCAAAATCACAGACAGGAACGCACAACAAATGTGTGGACCATAACCACACATTTAGGCCCCCTTTCAAATGGATTAACGTCAGTCACAGATAGATCACCGCTGAAGAAGGGTCAATAAGTCATACACACATTCCTTGCATTCCTTCCTTACTCAGTAAGCAGGTTAGGGCCAGTCGCAAGAAGACTCCCTATGGATAGGGACCTCTCCCAGAATAGTGACCAGAGTTAGAAACACACACTCCAAGGATAAATAAAGACTAGAGTCGTAGAGAGATTCTCTCTCCCTCCACTCCCAAGGACTTGTGCCACGGAACACTTTCCCATGGATAAATAAGTACCAAAGTCACAGAGCAGACAGCATACCCCTCCCCTGTAGATTAAAAAATCAAAGCCGCAGACATCCGCCTCCCCACAACTAAGTTCGGTGTCACAGACTACAAAGTAGCCCACTCCCATCTCTGTCTCTCCCTTCCCCCAACCCTCGTGCACCCATCCCTGCGTCCGGATCGCGCACGCGCCTCTGCTCTCAAAGGGGTAAAAAAAATTTAAGACAACCCCTCCCAGGCTCAGACTGTGCACGCATCCCTCGGTTGTGGTCCGCAGTCCTCCTCCTTCCCTAGTCCCCGCACCCCCGCCTCCAGCCCCTTACCTCCGCCCCCACGACCAGCGTCGAAGCTCACCTTTTTGGCTTGGGCTGTCAAGGGAGGGCTCCCTGACATCACATCAGCCCTCCGCCACCTCTCCCAGCTCAGCCGGAGCCGGTCCACGCAACAATCAAGTTCAAGGGTGGAGGCAGAAAAGCAGAGGGAGGGGGAGGGAAGAAGCGCGAAGCGCGCTGCCCTCCCCGGGAAACCCACTGCCACCTACTTCCCACCGGCCGCAATCACCAGCACAAAATGGCGACCAGGAGCAGGGAGCCGGCGCTTCCACTACGGTCCACCTACTGTGGGAGCGCGCTCTGGCCGGCCGCGTCTATTGGCCGCCATCTGCCGTGGGCCAGCCCTGGGCCGCTCTGATTGGCAAGCGGCTGCCACCTCCCCACGCCCCGTGCCCAGTGTGAGCTCCCCCACTCCACCCCTTCGTGGAGAGGAGTAGCTATTAGCCAATCCGGGGGCGCCCGCTTTTTAAGCTTGGCTTCCTTCAAAGATGAAAGACAAACGGAAGCTCTGCCCCTTTCCCCAGAGGGCAAGGGAAATTTGGTGTGATTGGCTGGGAACTGACCCTCTCTCCCCCCAAATGTCACTGTTTTCTTCTCAGCAAGTAAAGGAGCAGACCACTCAGGCGGAACACCCATAGCTTAACCAAGAGGATCGAGAAATTGTTGCTCCAATGAGGCTGTGACAGAGGGAGGAAAGAGGGCTGTTCAGCGCCTTAACTCACTTGAAAACAAAATCTAGCTAGACCCGAGACCTATTTAGTGCAGTGGGAGTGGAGCGACAATTATCCCGTTCGGGCCAACTGCAGCTGCGCAGATTCACATTTCCGTCCCCGCCCCTGAGAGCCAGCCGAACGGTTTGTCATGGCGGCCCGGCTGTTAGGTTTGTGCTCTCGCCGCCTTTTGGCAGCAGCGGCGACGCGAGGGAGCTTAGCTGTCCGGGTTCGCTGGGAATCCAGTTCCTCCAGGGCTGTGATAGCCCCGTCCACTGTGGTGGGAAAGCGGGCACCGGAACCGACTATACACTGGCAGGAGGACCCAGATCCGGAGGACGATAACTTGTATGAGAAGGTGAGACAGAGGGGAAACGGAACGCCAGTAGGGTCAATCGGGGGCTGGCGAACGGGGCGCCGTTAAGGACTTTCTTAGGCAGTTGATGATTGCGCAGCTGGTGAAGTCGTTAAAGACGGGTGTTTTGCCTAGCTCATTTTCTTCCTTTCTCCCGTGTTATCTTCGGTTCAGAGCTAGAGGCGACACTGGTTTTATTTTGCAGATGGGTACCAGTGGGTAGTGCTCAAAACGCTAGTAGCAATATAGTGTAACAATAATACTAAATACCGATAGGACGCTTGCTTGGTGCCAGTGTTCTAAACAGTTTTTACGTATGTTAACTTATCCAATCCTCAAAACAGCTCTACACCCTATGTACTATTAGTATACTCATCTTACAAATGAGGAAACTGAAGCACAGAGATGTGCACTGGCTTGCCCAAGTTCGCATAAATGAATGTGCGACAGAATAGTATTTGAACTTAGCAGAGGCTCTGAACTCAGAATGCTTGGGTTGGAATACAGGCACTGACAGTTACTTGCCTGTGTGACCTTGGGCAATTGACTTAACCCCTTGGTGCCTCAGTTTCTTTGTAAAAAAGGGGAGGTATTAGGACATCTTTTAAAAAATAAAACACTGCACCGCCTCGTGTAATTAAATAAGTCAAAGTGCTCAGAACAACACCTGACAATAAGTACCCAGCATCAGAAGGTATTAATTATCATTGCCACTTTCCACCTCACTGGGATATTGTGAAGTTTGTGTATGTGAAAAAACCCAGCACATAAGAGATACTTCATCAATATTAGCCTCATTCATTCATTCGTTCATTCATTCATTTTGTAAAATATGTATTGAGAGCCTACTGTATGCCAGGTACAGTTCAGGGCCCTGGGGGTTCAGCAGCGTGGAAATCAGACAAAGTCCTTGCTCTTGTAGAGCTTATATGATAGTGGAAAACACAGAAAATAAATATGTAAAATATTTGAAAATGATAATTTAGAGAAGCAATTGATAATATAAGATAATGTGATATAGACGATCTGGGGGATGCTACTTTGGTAAACAAATGCTAGAAAGAATGTTAAGCTGGATAAGTGGATTGAGAGTGTCTTGGAGATAGGGAGTAATTTCATTGGGTTAAGCCTTAGGAAATGGCTGATATTCATCCATTTAGATGTATGAAAATGGCAATTTCCTATAGTTCAATTTAATAGCCAAGGTGACTAGGGAATGCCTCTTAAGAGAAGTGATGATGAGGCCAAAACTTTGAATGAGGAAGCAGATACAGTCATGATGAGATTTGGGGAAAAGGTTTTCCAGGCAGAGTGAACAGCAAGTGCAAAGGCTTCGTGGTGGGAAGGAGCTTGACAAGTCCTAAGAACAGAAAAAGAGAAGTTTAGGGAGGGAGGGAAGATTGGTCCCAGGTGAAATTGGAGACCAGCTCATGCAGGGTCAGCATAAGGCTTTGTGGAGTGGTAGGAAGCCCTCATTGACCTCTTCTTCTTATTCCATAGAACCCAGACTCCCACGGCTATGACAAGGACCCTGTTATGGATGTCTGGAACATGCGGGTTGTCTTCTTCTTTGGCTTCTCTATCGTCTTGGTCTTTGGCAGCACCTTTGTGGCTTATCTGCCTGACTACAGGTTCATAGGGTGTCCAAGAGAATGGGATGGGTGGGGGCAGGGGTAAGGATGGAGGTCGAAACCAGGAATCCTGTTCCACACCATTAAGGAATGGGGAGCTAAGGTAGGGATTGATATTCAGTGAGGCTTCCTCATGTCTTCCCCCCATGCTGCTGTCTCCAGGATGCATGAATGGGCCCGCCGGGAAGCTGAAAGGCTTGTGAAATACCGAGAGGCCAATGGCCTTCCTATCATGGAATCCAACTGTTTTGACCCCAGCAAGATTCAGCTGCCAGATGAGGACTGATTGGATGCCCAGTGGGGTTCAAGAAGCACCACCTTCTTTACTCCCTGCCTGCCATTCTGCCCTCCTCTCAGAACACCTTATTAAAGGGACTGAAATTCTGACTGGCTGGTGTTAATTTTGTTGTGGGGGGAATCTGGAAGTGGGGGTATCGGGCCTTAAAAGGGCCACTGCCACCTTTTCTGGGTGTTCTGGTTATCTATTGCTATATAATATACATCCTAAAACAGTAGCTTAAAACAACAATTCAGTATTATCTTTCATGGTCCTGTCATTGACTGGGCTCGGGCAGTTCTTCTTAGGGCTAAATGGTGGCTGGTGCTGGATTCATTTGAAAGGTCCACTAGACTAGACATTCAAGGTGGCTTCTTCACTCACGTGTCTGGCACTCCTGTGTTCTTCCAGGTGGCCTCTGTCTCCAGAAAGTTTGTAACAATGTAGATATAGTTTTGTCTAGTTTGATACACCATTTAAGTGCATTGATACATTTCTGCATCTGACTTTTATGCAACAGGATGTTTGTGACATGGATCCCCATTATTACATTGTTAGTAGTTTGCCCATCTTCACTGCTGTGTTCTCTTCCCTTTGGATGAATAGAGCACACTCCATCCATTCTTGTGTCAGTGGGTATTTGGGTATTTTTCTCTCTGGGGCTATTAAGATTAATTCTTGGAGTGACTGAGGCTGTGAGTGAGATGCCGGTGGCCATGAGTCCCTATGGAAAGTCCCAGCCAAGCTGCTTCAGCTGCACAAAGATGGACTTTGTAATGGGTTGCACCATGGGCATGGTGGCCGGCACCTTTTCCTGTCTCAGGATCGGAATGCATGGTCAAGAGTTGATGGACAGCATCAGGAAAATCATGATGCGGAGTGGCAGCACCTTTGGCACATTCATGGCCATCAAGATGGGCGCCTGATTCTAATCAAGGCAATGGTTGCCCTCATCTACCCGATTTTGTAAGACCCAGCCCATGTACTATAATAAAAAGACTGAGTAAAAAAAAATTCTGTGAACATTCTTATACACATCTTTTGATGAACATAATGAACTCATTCCTCTCGGAGATATATCTAGGAATGGAATTGCTAAGTCATGGGGTAGACAGGTGATCAGCCTTAGTAAAGCATGCCAGTTTTTCCAGTTACATTTTCTTTCCCTTGTGGTAAATGCTACATCTTCGCCATCATTCCCCATCATGAATGTCACTCAGCATTCTCCATCATTTTCATGGTGGCCATTTTGGTGAACAGCTGACCTTTTAAGGGCCACATTGGGATGAAACAGTGGGAGTTGAGTTTGTCCTGTGTGTCAAGCCCCAACAGTGTGCCAGGCACCGACGGACACCAGGATCTCTGTCCTCAGAAATTTCCCAGGGTGAATATGGTGGCTGGTGTGAGTGGTCAGAGAGCATAAGCAATGCTTTCACCCTACTGTTTGACCACAAGGATATTTGAACCTTGATATTTTAAACCCAGCTTTGCTCCAGCAGCATAACAGATAACCTTCATCCTTCCATCTAATAGAGCATTCATCATGTGCAAGGCCCAGTGAACAAGACAGCCCCTGTAACAGACACTGTCAGTTCCCTGTCCATGTCCTGGCTGCCTTACTGCTCCAGTGTGCCACTGGCCAACTGCCAACTTCCAGGGTCTGCATCTCTTCACTGGAAGTCTTCCTCTCATGCTGCCTGCAGGCCTGACAGGCTGGGTAGGCTAGGAAATGAACATCCCCTGGCAGCCACCCTCAATCAATGACTGATGAGAGTTAGTAGGTATGTACCCTTGTCCCTGTATCCCATATATGGGACGTCTCCATGGCGGGTGTTCTCCACTGGCTCCCAGTGGGAACAAGCTCCAATTGCCCACAGTGCTAAGTCGCTTCATGATCATTGTCTCACTTCCCCACTGTCAACAGGTGCTTCCTGGGTTATGTCTCACATAAGCTGCTGAACTTTAATAATTGTCTGAAGGTCAGCTTCTGGAGGGACCTGATCTAAAATATTTTCTGTTCTTGAAGTTTACCTTAAGGTTGTGGGTAAGACAGAGTACACAAGCACAGAAAAGAGATGACGTAAGTTCCACCAGAATGCCAGTGTGGCTGGAATATTGTGCTTACTGGAATTACTGGAATCTTCCAAGATAAGAGCGGACAGGGATGAGTTTACAGAGGTGGTTGTAGGTCATAACCCTAAGGCCCCATGGGCCGTGCTTAGGAGGAGTTTAGACTTTACACAGTATACCAGGTTGACCAGAAGCTCACTAACAGCCTAGCTTAGCAAAGCCCATCTCAGACAACTCTAGACTGTCTAAGGGGGATTGCTGACAGTTTTTCTCATAGATTTCCAAGGAAATAAAAACAAACTATCTTACCAGCTTCACAACAACTACTGCTGGTAGGCATATGCACCACAGAATAAACTGACAGGCTAAAACTGTAAACTTTAAAATATGTTGAGGGAGAGCTGATGGAAGGATCCAATGTTCTCAAGAAAACATGAACCTGCAGTTTTGATCCTGAAAAATTAGACTTGGTGAAAACTAGCCACAAATGGAGCTCAGAATGACAGGAAAACAATTCACTCAGCAAATATTTACTGAGTGCCTACTCGAGTCAGGCACTTTTATAGGCGGTGAGGATAGAGCAGGGAAAAAAAGATAAAAAACTTCCCATCCTTGAAGAACTTATATTCTAGCAGATGAGAAATATGTGATAAATAAGGCAGCAAATCACATTATTTGCATTAAATTAAAAATAAAGCCAGTAAGGGGGCTCAGAAGTGCAGGGTGGGAGAAGCTTGTATTTAAACAGGGAGTCAGAGCCCTGGCTGGGGTAGGTTAGTGGGTTGAGCGCGGGCCTGCGAACCACATGATCGCGGGCCTGCAAACCACATGATCGCGGTTCAATTCCCAGTCAGGGCACATGCCTAGGTTGCAGGTCAGTTCCCAGCAGGGGACACACGAGAGGCAACCACACATTGATGTTTCTTTCCCTCTCTCCTTCCCTTCCCCTCTAAAGATAAATAAATAAAATCTTAAAAAAACAAAACAAAACAGGGAGTCAGTTTAGACCTTGTCGAAAAGTGATTTTTTAAGGAAAAAAAATGTGAAAAAAGTGAGAGATTAGATGTACAGATGGAAGAGCATTTCTAGGAGAGGGAACAACCTATATAGTCCCTTACACAAAAATGTGCCTGAGCCTGGCCAGTGTGGCTCAGCTGGTTGGAACATTGTCCCATTCACCAAAACATTGCAGGTTTGATTCCCCTCTTGGAGCTGACTTCTCTTGTAGGAAACAGATAATAAATGTGAAGAATAGCAATTTTGGGTAATGACAATTTATAGATAAATAAGTAAAATGTGGAATATGGTGATAAGTGTTAAGGAGAAAAAATAAAACAGGAAAGGGTACAGCATGTGTGTGTGTGTGTAAATTTTAGCCAGAGTACCTAGCAAAAAGGCCTCAGTGAGATGACATTTGAGAAAGAGCTAGAAGAAATTTCGAAATGAAGAGAGAACTTTGAAACAAGAGCCATGATTGCTAGAGGGCACAGATTCTAGAGCCAGAATACCTGAGTTCAAACCACAGTCCCCTCCATATTGAATGGGTTCCCATTTTCCTCCTCTATCAGTTGGGGCTAACAACATTAATTACCTCCTAAGGATACTGAGAAGATTAATCTGAACTTATAACATTACCTGATACAGATTAGGTGTTCCTAAGTGTTGGTAGAATGAATCCTCATTAATATTAAAGTAGGGACCATTGAAGTTTTTAAATAAGTGGCCTAAAAATGAAATTGTGGTAAATCATGGTTTGGGGGATGTTCAGATTTCGGATTTGGAGTGGAAGGTAGTTTTGGAACCCTGCCAATCACTACTGAGAGGTTTGGTATCTGGTATTGAAAGGGGTGGTTTCTGAAGACAAGGTTTGAAAACTACTTAGGCCAGTTAAGGCCTTAAGTAGTTAGTACTTATCAGAAAAGCTGCAGGACTCTGGAAGTCAGTTGTATCAAAGGCAGAGAGGCTCTGGGGAACTTTGCCAGGATCAGAACGAGGATCCAGGGTCTCAGCTGAAGTTTAGGAAAAGAGCAGCCATTGGCATGAGGTATCAGAGATGCACCTCTAGAGACCCTGAAACGATGTAGCCTTGTCTTCCTATTCTCTTTCCAATTCCCTCACCTCCTTCAAGTTTTTGCTAAATATCAACTTCTCAAAGAGGACTGCCTTATTTGATATCCCAACCCTGCCTTATTCATTCTCTACACTTAACTATTGTTGAGTTTTTTTCCCCCTCCATAGCACACACAAACTGCATCGGTCCATTGTCCTTTTAGTTATGGTCATGCTTACCGGAATTAAAAATAAACCAGGCTGTTATTTTAACGAGGGAAGAGAGAGAGAGAGAGAGAGAGAGAGAGAGAGAGAGAGAGAGAGAGAGAGAGAGAGAGAGAGAGGAGAGAAGGAGGGAGGAAGGGGAGGAGGAAAGAAATCTTCAGAAACCCTAAACCCATTAAGATGAGGCACGCGAGTGTGTGCCTGTGTGTGTCTGTGTAGATTCAAACAGATTGCATCTAAACCAAAAATACTTTCTGCACACACTATCCAGCCCCTGCTGCAATGAAGATTCTAAGTCATGTTGACTCTGGACCACCATTTTTCTCACCTATAATCTACTTCTCCCTTTCCAGAAAATTCCACTCACCTTGCAAAGTGACCTCTTTGGGGAAAGCTTTCATTTTGAAAAAACAAGCTCACATAGGACAGTTTCGGATTTGATGCTAAAAAAAGATTTTTGATTAATAAAGTTTATGATTTTTAGTTTAAAGTCTATTTTGCCTGACATAAACATAGCTGCACTTGCTTTTCCACCCACTATTTGATTGAAAATCTTTTTCCATCCCTTCACCCTCAGTACGTACAGGGTGGGACAAACATAGGTTTACAGTTGTGAGTATGTGAAACACAGAGTTTATTGTTGCATTGTTATTTATTAATTATTGTATCATTTTCCATATGTAAACCTACTTTTACCCCACCCTTTACGTATCTTTAAGGCTAAACGAGTCTCTTGTAGGCAGCATATTGTTGGGTCTTGTTTTGTTTTTTTTAAATCTATTCAGCCATTCTATGTCTTTTGCTTGGATAATTTAACTTGTTATGTTTAAGGAAATTATTGATAGATAAGCACTTACTCTTGTTATCTTGTTAATTGTTTTCTGGCTGGTTTGTAGATCTGTTGTTCTTTGTTTCTTCTGCTGTCTTTGTGTGTGTATGTGTGTGTTGTGACATCTTTTGGTACCAGTATGCTTTGACTTCTTTATCATGCTCTTTCATGTAATTACTACAGGTTTTTCCATTGTGGTTACCATGAAGCTTAAAGTATCTTAAAATTATAATGTCTTATTATAAGTTGGTAACAATTTAATTTCAATAGCATTCCTAAACCCTACACTTTTACTTCTCCTCCCCCTCATAATTTAGGTTATTTTTTAAATATTTTATTTATTTATTTGTAGAGAGAAGTGAAGGAAGGGAGAGAGGGAGAGAAACATCAGTGTGTGGTTTCCTCTCCTGTACCCCTACTGGGGACTGCCTGTAACCCAGGCATGTACCCCAACAGGGAATTAGACCATCGACCCTTTGCTTCACAGTCCGGTGCTCAATTCACTGAGCCATATCAGCCAGGACTAATCTAGGTTTTTAAAATATATATATAATATATTTTATTGATTATGCCATTATAGTTGTCCCATTTCCCCCTCTTCATCCCCCTCTACCCTGCACACCCCTCCCACCCACATTCCCCCCCTTTAGTTCTTGTCCATGTGTCATAAGTTCTTTAGCTTTTACATTTCCCACACTACTCTTGCCCTCACCCTATTTTTTCCCCACCATCAATGCTACTTATTCTCTGTACCTTCTCCCCCTTCTCCTCCTCCCACTCCCCTGTTGCTAACCCTCCATGTGATCTCCATTTGTGTGGCTCCAC